CTAGTTGGAGAGGAGCTGCAACCTTCAGCTGATCTTTGGCTGGTTGGCGAGGAGCAATGACCTTCAGCTGATATTTGGCTTGCTGGAGAGGAGCAACGACCTTCAGCGTATTTTCGGCGGGTTGGCGAGAAGCAACAACCTTCAGCTGGTTGATGAGGAGTAATGACCTTCAGATGATCTTTAGCTGGTTTGCGAGGAGCAACGACCTTCAGCTGATCTTCGGCTGGTTGGAGAGGAGCAACGACCTTCAGCTGATCTTCGGCTGGTTGGAGAGGCACAACAACCTTGAGCTGATCTTTGGCTGGTTGGCAAGAAGCAACAACCTTCAGCTGATCTTCGGCTGGTTAGAGAGGAGCAACGACCTTCAGCTGATCTTCGGATGGTTATAGAGGAGCAACGACCTTCAGATGATCTTCGGCTGGTTAGAGAGGTGCAATGACCTTCAGATGATCTTCGGCTGGTTGGTGAGGAGCAAAAGACTCAATCAGATTTGAGTGATTTAACCAACAACAACGTTCAGGAGCAGAGACTGAAACTGAACAGAACCCGAGCAGAACCACAGCTTCTGTGCTGAACTGCAGCTGGTTCTGACAGGACCTGTTTGAAAACCCAAAGACAAACTGGTTTACTTAATTCTGTTTGGTTCAGATTGGACCTCCGGCTGCAGACGGACAGAAAGGTGAGCTTACACAACACAAGGAAGAGCCAGCTGTTTGCAGCTGCTTCCTCCTACAGAACCAGGAAGTGGAGCTTCCTCAGTACATCTGGTACGGGTTCTGTTTTATGTCTTCTGCTGGAGAACAGAACCGGTTCTTACAGAACGGGAGGTCAAAGTTCATCCAAACAACCGTCTGCACAGCTGGACTCATATTAAACATCTGTCTAGAGTTTATAACTGATCATATGATTAAAAATGTTCCCTCCGTTTTTACTTTATGAAACTTTATGAAAGGTTTTTATTAATTTAAGATCAATTTTACAAATTAAAACTTAAAATAAATCAAATATTTTTAAGGTAACTAAATGAATTTTGATCTAAATTAGATTATTGAATAAAGTGTCAAATGAAAAGCTTTTCTGAGCGCAGAGGCTCATTTTGTCGATCATTAACGAAACCTTTCCGACGGGACATGAACGCATCACAGGGCTGCTCCGAGTCCAGCTGCTCCTGTCAGAACCAGGTCGGAACTTTTGGATCTTCAGTCATAAGAGATGGCTCCTCAAACCCCCAAGAGGCTCCTGTCCAACGTCCTGGAGGACTTGACCAAGTCCGACATGGAGAAGTTCCGCCACGAACTGCAGGACCGCCGGAGCGGGACCCGGCGGGTCCGTCGGAACCAGCTGGAGGGAAAGTCCATCTTGGAGGTGTCGGACGTGATGATCCAGGTCTTCACGGAGAAAGAAGCCCTGAAGATGGCCGTGGACATCCTCCGGGACATCGGCTGCTGTCAGGACGCGGACGTCCTAGGTAAACATCCAACATCTGGTTCCGGAACATCTGGACCAGGTTTCTGATGTGGTCTGAGCTCACTGAGCGGCGGCTCGCAGAATAATGAAGTTATGAACAGGATTAATGGTTTGTTTAACTGAAAACGTTTAAAGGAAACGCGCCATTTTTATTTTCACTTTCACTTTCAAATAATCTGGAACTTTCTGGAAAAATTCTGTTTTTTTTTTTATTTTTCGTTTCAAGTTTCAGAAAACTAATCAGAGACATCCTGATGCATGCTCAATAATCCAGGTAGAAAAATCTGAAACAGTTAAATCTGGTCCTCAGACTGAAGAAGTCTTTCGGATGAAAGATGAAACGTTTCTACAATTCTTGGGGTTTTGTTTTGTTTTTTGAATGTCCAGAGGACCAGACTTAACTTTTTTTAAAGTAAAAACCTAAAAAAAAAAAAAAACCGGCCGAATTTCAGATTAGAATTGTCCTGTTTTAATTTAAAGCTGCCGCTTTCCTTTAAAGGGATCACCCGTACATTTTGAAGCGGGGTTCAGTACGAATACAGTAGTAATTATCTTACCTGCTGCCCACAGCTATTTGAACTTGCTCAATTTGAAGAAAAATACCGTTTTAGTTACAAAACACAAATCATTATAAATTATAAAATACCGTAAGGGTCTCTGTTTTAAATCTGAGGCCTCGTGGATTATTTTGACCCAAGGGCAGCAGGAGGGTTAAACTGTGATTTCTGTGCATTTTGATTCTAATTCGCTTTTGTTTCAGTTCTGGATAGTAAGAATGTTATTGTAACCCGAAGAAATGCTAAAATTAGCACAAAAGCATAAAAAGCGATTAGAGAATGATCAGGATTATATGATATAACTGCCTGCCGTACTTAATGCTAAATTGAGAGCGTGAACTCGCAGACTTGAGCTTTATCGTCTGTTTGCTCAGGTTACCATGCCTCACTCGCACCGTGGCCTCAACTTAATGGCACACAAATTACTCAGTGGAGTAAACGCGTTGATTTCATTACGTGCACTGCATGCCAATGATACGTGCACGCTGTGTTTTGGATAATTTCCAGAACCTAATGTAGTTTCTCTTGTCTTTGCAGCTGAACAGATACGTTTAAACTCCTCCAGCGATGAAGGTTCAGCCAACGCTGCTTCCAGTGATGGTGATAAAATTTAAAACTGCTATTCAGTTTAACAACAGAAATTAAAATAATTCGTTAATAAAGTCACATTTCATGAATTATCTGAGCTGACACTGTCCTTAAAGGGATCTCTGACTACTTTCACATATTGGCCTTAAACTGTTATTTCTCCATTTCACTAAAACGTGTTGATTGCGACACATGAAAACTCTTAATTATTACAAATATACATTTTTTTTACATTTTGTTCCTTCTCTATTATTTTACCTGCACACTGCATTCTGGAGCGATGACGTCTGTCCGTTGTAATAGAGACTAAAACACAATGAGTATGTCAATGTCAATAAAGTTATATTTTTTATTAGTATAGCCCAGATTCAGGGC